GGCTACATAGAAGTCATATAGGCCATATTTGGGCCATTTTGAGTAAAATGCGTTGTTAAAATTAATGTAATACTATATTGATGTGATTTCTAGCCTTAGACACCTTATATTACCCAACATTGACATGTTATGAGAAATAAAAAGGTCATTTGACAAGAAAGGTCGAAAATGGGCTGAATAGAAGTCATATGAGCCATATTTGGGTCATTTTGTGTTAATATGCTCTTTTGATGTGATTTCTTTCCTTATACACCGATAACTAGATAATATTGACATGTTATGAGATAAATAAAGTTCATTTAATAAGAAATGTAGGAAGTGGGCAAAGTAAAGTCATATAGGCCATTTTGAGTCAAAATCGTCTTAAACCTTAATAAAATATTTTTTTTGATTCAATTTTAGGGCTTAGACACATAAAACTAGGTGACAATGACATGTTATGTGAAAGAAATAGTTCATTTGATAAGAATTGTAGGAAATGGGCTAAATGGAAGTCAAGTAGGTCATATTTGGGCCATTTTGAGTAAAATGCGTTGTTAAACTTAAAGAAATGATATATTGATGTGATTTCTAGCCTTAGACACCTAATATTCCCCAATATTGACATGTTATGAGAAATAAAAAGGTCATTTGACAAGAAAGGTAAAAAAATGGGCTTAATAGAAGTCATGTGGGCCATATTTGGGACATTTTGTGTTAAGATGCTCTTTTGATGTGATTTATTTCCTTGTACACCTATAATTATTGACATGTTATGAGATAAATAAAGTTAATAAGAAATTTAGGAAATGGGCAAAGTAAAGTCATATAGGCCATATTTGGGCCTTTTTGAGTAAAAAGCGTCTTAAACCTTGATAAAATATTTTTTGATTCAATAGGGCTAAGACACATAAAACTAGGTGACATTGACATGTTATGAGAAAGAAATAGTACATTTGATAAGAAATGTAGGAAATGGGCTAAATAGAAGTCATATATGTCATATTTGATAAAATACATATTGTTTTGCCTAATTAATTAATTCTAACATAATTTTTTTGTATTTCAAGTTTTGCAAGGTCCAAAAGGATGGTCCGTTGACAATCAAGGATCTTAATGAAGTTCGTGACATGTTGGCGTCTTTTATCACCTTCAACATGTAAATGTCATTTTAATTGTAAATTTATGTTAACTTTTGAACTATATTATTATTCATTATTTACTTACTATCATTTGTATATATATATATATATAACACTTTTGTTTTTATTGTATTGCGTTTGGGAATATTTATATCTATATATATATGAACTAGGTAAGTCCCGTCCCATGCACGGTAAGAATTAAACTTTATAACAAAAATTATTTAGAATGATGTTAATTTAACAATAATTTATCAAAAAAAATATTTGTAACAAAATAATAGTCTTTAATTAAGGATATCGATGGTTAAAATTGTGTCTCGACAAATGTGCAAATCCAATTATAACATATAAATAATAAAATAATTTTGTTCGGTTGTTCTTATAAAATTTATGCATAATTTTAAGATTTATAAAAAGTATGCTACAAAAATATTTTATTATATTTTTAATTAAAATGATTTTTAAGTTGGAAGAAAAAAATTGATAATATTATTATAATCTTGGATAATGATATACGAAGTATTTTGTTTTCAAAAAAAAAACGAAGTATTTCAATACCTTAATTTTAATCTATGTTACTATATTTGTAACTAAAATATTTCTATTATATAAAATATATGTTTAAAAAATAATAATAATAAAATTAATTGAGTATGATTGGATTAAATGTGTTGTCAAAATGGAAATAAGTATAATTGTAGGTAAAAAAAATTGGAAGTCATTCAAATTTGGCAAAAAAAAAATAAAGAAAGAAAAAAAAGGCGGGAAATTTTTTAATGCTATCATGACACGTGTCACTTTAGGTTCGCTTTTAGTATAGGTTAATTTATTCTTGTTTTTAATATTATTTGTATATTATTATAATATTTAATAATATTTTTATTATTAGTAATTATAATAATAATAATATTATTAATTATTTTATTTAATATTATTGCTGGAATTACAGGTTATTATTATTGCTGGAAACAGGGTGTTTTTTTTTTTTACATATTATTGCACGAAAAATGGAAAAAAAAAAATATTGAATGAAAAGGCACCGGTTAACCGGTGCCAAAACTAGCTGCCACCAAATAAAATTTACGCGGGAGACTATTTTAGGCACCGATTAACCAGTGGCCAAAATAATTAAAGGCACCGGTTAACCAGTGCCAAAACTGGTTTAGGGCACCGGTTTTGAACCGGTGCTAAAAAGGGGGGTATTTGGCACCCCCCACATAGAAAGCGGTTCAATCCGGTGCCTTAGACCGGGTTTGAACCGCTGCCAATTGCTCTTTTTCTACTAGTGATGTCTTCATGTTCCTGTTAGGGAAACAGTTACTTCCTGGTTGGAACTCTTTTTCTATCTTCTTTAACTTTCCTTGAAATCTTCTCGAGTCTTCATAGTTAGGCTACTCTTCCACTTTCAAAGTCTACTTTACCTGTTCTATTTACAACACTTAGAGACTTCTTATTAATTAAAGTTTGCTAGTTTATGTTTATCATCATCAAAACCTTTAAGGTTCAATAACCTTTCTCTCTCTTTCTATTCCCCACTACCAAAAAATATGTGCCAACCATTATGGTGCAATTAAAAGAACGAGGAAGTATTAGGTTTGAGCTCTTAATAAACAATTTTTTAATAGTCCATTGTTAAAACTCCTCGTGTCTTCTTTGGTATCTTGTCCATTTTCATGATTTGATGGTGGGCTATTTCGAGTGCCAACTTGTCATTTGCTTATGAAATTTGTTAGCGAAGGCAAATATGGAAACACAAAATGATAAAAATAATTTATGTATTTTTTTTAAAAAAGTCAAAAAGTCAAAGGGTGGTGTCCATTTGTCCAACTACAAAATGAAAGATGATGAAAATAAAAATGGGTTCTCGTGAGTCGTGACCATGTCTCAAATATAAAAGATTCATGCAGGCGATTGACGAGAAGTCACTTTAATTCTTTACGTGCCCATAACACTTACTTGACGATGAATTACCCCCTCCACACAATTCTCACCTCATCCCCCACTTAGCTGGATTGTAGATCGAGATGCCCCCTTTGCTTATTCCCCTCCCCCAAAATATATAAATATAATAATAATTATTATTATTATTAAAGATCCTCATTGCGTTATATTCCCCCTTTCTGAATTTTTTTTTCTGATTGAGATGAATTAAATATTACATTATACTAATAAGTGGAGTTTGTTAGAGAATTGACTAGCATAAATAATTGGTGAAAAAATTAAAAGTGATGATAACGAGTGAATAATTTATTTAATAGTTAAAGGTGTAAGTGAAAATAAAAATTAAAAAATGTGTGTAAGGTTGGAGTAAGTACCATATAAAGAGAAAGTAGATATAATAATAATAATATTAAAAAAAAATATGTATATGCAAAGTGTTGCATTTAAAATATAAGTTCAATTTTAGAGTTTGTTGCATTTATTAAAAACATAGAGATTAGTAAATACTCTTACAAACTTTATACTCCCTCCGTCCCTAAATTACATTCCTCTTTGGAAATTTACACGGGAATTAAGGAGGAAAGAATAAGACAAATAACAATAATTAGATAATGCAATGGGAAGTACAAAGATAGGTTAGTTATTACTCATGACATGTCATCAATCCTTTGCAAAAAAAAGGACCAATCACATGCTCCTAATTGAAAATTTTTAACCAATCATATTCATTGTAATTTGGCACAAGGATTATGAGTGAGATTAGGTAAGGATGAGTGAGAAAACATTAAATATAAAACAGAAAAAGAGAGTTGATTTACTAAAAAAACTTACCAAAAATAGAAAGGAGGAATGTAATTTTAGAATACCAAAAATAGAAAGGATGAATGTAATTTAGGGACGGAGGGAGTATATGCAAAGCCCTAAGCTAGCTATACAATGAAGAGTTATGTAAGGCCAGAACCTCTCACGGATCCACCCGACTTAGGCTAGAGGGCTAGGTTTTTTAGGCCAAATTTGACTGTGTCAATTATTCAGGAAGGATGAAGTATTTTATCCCTAGGGGTGAGCAAAAATTTCGGGTACCCGAAATTGGAACCGAAATCAGTAAGGAACCGGCGGGTCCGGAATCGAAATTGGACCCGGTGGTTCTAATTTCGGGTAATAAATTAAGGACTCGGTTATAACCAATTCCAATTCTAAACTTTTTGGAACCGAAACCGGTTGGGTACCCGGTAACCTAATATATGCTAAACTAAATAAATTTTAAGTAATAAAAATATGTTGAATGTATCTCAATTGTAAATTAAAAAGTTTTATCAATACCTAACACTACACCAAAAACTAGATTAGAGATCGCAAAATATAGAACGGTTATTAAAGATAGGCGTTCTCCAGAAGAATATAGATCGTTTTAATATAATAGGCGTTCTTTATGTTAATACATATAGAACGATTAGCATAGTTAACCGTTCTGTATTTCAATTTACTCAAATAATTAAAAATAATAATTATTTATTACAGATGATATAGAACGGTCATCTTGACAACCGTTTTGTATTATATTAATTAATTATTATTTTTAGTTAGGAGGAAATTATATACGTACATACACAATAATAATTTATTCATTGTTTCAAAAAATAATAATTTATTCATGTTTTCAAAAGAAAAAAAAATTACCGAAATTTCCGTCAAATTTTTTTTACCCAAAATACTAAAAGGGAAAATTGAAGCGATTATCACTTTCACTTTCATCAAAAAGTGAAACCTCTTTCTCATTCATCAGTAAAAAAAAAAAGTGAAACCTTCATTAAACCTTCATCAAACCTCCATAGAAAATCTTTCATCAGTCGCTTATTGCACTGCCGCTCCATCGCCGTTCCACGTCTGCAGTACCGCACATGTCTGCTGAGCCACCGGTAAATTGAGGTAGGCTTGATTTTTTTTTTTTTGGTTCGAATTTTTATTGTGGTAGAGTAATTGGATTCTGATAATTGTCAATCTAATTGCATGAATCATTCGAATTATGAAGGAAACAGAAGTAAATTCGTAGAATTCGAATTTTAGGTGATTGAAAAAACCTTCAAAGTTCTTGTTTTTGGGATAAATTCATCGATTGTTTGTATGTAAATATTTAAGCCGAATTATTGCTGTAAGTTCAATCAAATTACCCTTAATTTTGTCGAATTTACTCAACGAATTCCTGGGGTTTTGATTCGATTTTTTTGCTCGAAATTTCTCGAATTAATGCTCGAATTTGCTCAATTTTTTGCTCGAATTAATGCTCGAATTCCTGGGGTTTCTTAGGGTTTTATTTTGTTTTTTTGCTCGAAATTGGGGGTTTTATTAATGCTTGAATTGGGGGTTTTATTAATGCTCAAATTCCTGCAGTTTGGTTGTTGAATTTGTGGAAATTTTTTTGGTCGAATATCTGGGGGTTTTTGGGTAGAATTTCTGGGGTTTTTGGGTCGATTTTTTGGGTTTTTTGGGTCGAATTTCCTTGAATTTCTGGGCGATTTTTGCTCAAATTTCCTTGAATTTCTGGGTGATTTTTGCCTTGGGGATTGCCTTGGACTCGGGTTTTTTCAGCCTGTGTTTAGAAAATGACTGCTTGAAGCTGTGCAATGCCTTGAAGAAAAGAGATGTGCAGCCTACTTAGTTTGGTTTGGTAGTGAATAATATCCAGAATTTAGCTGCTAGGTGTCGTGTTTGTTCCTTTTCTTTTGTGAAACGTGATGGCAATCGGGTTGCTCATGAGCTGGCAAAAATGAGTTGTAAGGCCTGTTGAAAAAATTAATGACTTGCATTGTGCAAATGTGCTTAATCCATTGTTTTTAAAACAACTGTCTAAGGCCTGTGTACAGAACAGAAGGAAGCACTAATGTTGAAATGGGTGATCTTTTATAGGTAGTTTAAGGGGTCTAATATTGAAATGAGTAAAATATAGATGATTCGTATGCAGCTAGGTTGGAGATTAGACAATTGCAAGCAATAGAAGTGATTTGCAACTTTCAAACATAATGTCTTCAAAAGGTTCTTGAGGTGATGTAGGTTAAGGCAGTCATCTGTGTTGTTTTCCTTTTTTTTTTTTTTTTTTCTTTTCTTCTTTTTTTTTTTCTAAATATTGGTGTGTTGTGCAGCAAGATAGCAATTATCAATTATCATTGCTGTGAAGTCATCTGATAAACAGTCAACAACCGTGGTTCTTTCCTTGACTATGTCTGGTGTGGAAAATAGTTAGCATGAATATGATGTATGTACTGTTTTAATTTATTTATGGCATATGAGGATTGAGATTCAAGTTTTTTTGTAAGCTTATTCCTTGTCTCAATGATGTTCTTGTAGTTTAATTGACTGATATCGGCTCATATTTATTTTTACAGTAGACAAATCTCAAAGTTAAACAAAAGAACAATATAAATGGCAGAAGGGGTGTTAGAAGAAGTTATAAAGTTCCACTGAAGGCAAAATTTGATCCATGAAAGTTGGCTTGACAAAATTCAGTCCCACAAGTGGAGGAAGTAATGTTTTTGGTATGAAACTGGTATCTCTATTGTGAGATTGCTAAAAAAATTCTGAGGCATGCACTGACATAAACTATTATGCACATGGCTGTTATGTGTATTATGAGCAGCCTTTTTGGATAGTATCTGTTCTTATGAACTTAGATAAAAAAAAAAAGGATATGCTTATTTATATTTAATTAGATGAATTTATTGTATATTATTAACTAATATGTATGTATTTTACATTGTTTTGTAGTATTTTAAGCAAGTTCCTCCTACATATTCTCAACAAATGATCGACGAGCTTAGGAAAAGGTGGATTTCATATGTTACCGGATACCATCAACCAAATGACGACAACGACGACGATCTATGTGAATTGTAGATCAATATGGTATTGGTATATCTAAGCATGATTTTTTTTCAATCAACATTAACTAGAAAGTTGTTTTGATATTTAACTCACGTATTTGTTTGTATAGTACAAATTTTGTATGAATGATTCAATTTAATTGTAGTTCGATGTTTTAAATTATATTTATGAAGTATATTCTGATGGCTTTCGTCATATCTGGAAATATTTTTGTTGATTTTATTATACAAAAATTTATATTGCACGTATACAGGATCATGGATTTATTTTACATGGGAAATGTGGAAATTTTCTTACAGGATAAATGTACAAGATACAAAACAGGAATACAATAATACAGGTCTAAATGAAATACAAAAATAATACAGAATATTAAAATACAGGAATAATACAATATAAAATACGTACAAAAGTAATTCGACTTATTATGGCTGGATTTAAAAAAAAAACATTAAAGAATTGTTATCTAACTTAACCGTTCTCTATTGTATTGCAATATAGAACGGTTAAGTGTCCTAAACCGTTCTTTATTCCTTCTTTAGTGTACGAATTTAAGAAGGGAAAAGAGAATGGTTGTGACTAACAACCATTCTCTATTTGTTATTATATAAAACGCCTAAACGACCCGTTCTCTATACTTTTTACATCGCTTAGTAGAAGATCGCCCCTAAGGCGATCTATAAAGCCTATTCTAACAGTTCTCTAAGGCCTTTTTTGTAGTAGTGTAACATAAATACAAATAGCTTAATGCATATATAATTATAAGTATTAAACGCTAAAAACGAGCCTGACTAAAATAAGAATTATAATTTGTATTATAATTTAACAATTACATACATAAGTGGTACCCGTATCCGAAACCGGTACCCAGTGGTTCCAATACAAATTCCTAAATTTTAGGACCTGGTTGAACCATTTTCAATTCCGGATCCAAATTTTAGGACCCGATTCCAACCAATTGTAAGTCCGGGTCCTAAAATTTTGACCGGGTACCCGGTTTGCTCACCCCTTGTTATCCCTACTTTTTTTTATAAAGTTCATGCAAACTCTTATGAATATTAAATAGTGTGTGGACATACATAAAAATGTTTGTTTACTTATTTGCTTTCATTGGTTGATGTTAACTGCCTCTTTTTTTGAACTTTATAAATAATATGATGCCATTAATACCCCTAAAAACATTTTTTACATTAATATTTACTAAATTTGTGGCATAAGATCAAACCAAAAAAATATCTCTGAACATGACTAGTTATAACGCATGGATCATGTGTGTTAATTACCCTAGATTAATTTGATAAAAAGTTATCTTACTATATTCAACTTTGTCTATCTTTAAAATTAATTGTCAATTTCATTACAATTATAATGAGAATTTAAATTGGAATTCCGTACAAATTGTTATACATAAAATGATACGTAGTAGTATTGAAGTTGGTATCTCTTGAATTAGTATAACGCTATACCCATCTATAGTAGATAGGTCTAATCAGGATACTCTTACGCATAAACAGTTGATTTATTAGTAATAATACCTTCATTTAACTCAAGGTTTTTTTTTTTTTTTTTTTTTTTTTTTTAATAAAAAAAATAAGCTAGAAGGGCGGGTGATGAGAATCGATCCTAAGATCTATTGAAAATTTGGAATCGGTTGAGCTATCCCTCACTCTCCATTTAAATCAAGTAAAATAGCTAATGGTAATCTTTATCACATAGCTTAGGCTTACCCCTGTTGTTCCAAAAAAAAAAAAAAAGTACCAAGTATGAGATAGATCAACAAAAGAATTTTATTTTATTTTTTTATTTTTTAATTTTTTTGTAAGAAACTAGTTTTGAATTTGTAAATAATTTTTTTATAACAAATTATTTTTTTTTTCTTTTTTTTTTTTTGAAGGATTTTTTAACAAATTAGTTTTGAATTTGTAAATAAAACTTTTAAATGCTATTAAAAAAAAAACGGGAGTTTTACTTTCTTTGTTCTGTCTTGTGTGCAACTATCACACAATTTACAGTAAGAATTTGCAATATCTTTTTTACCCATATTTTTCTTTTTATTCCTCGCTTCTTTTTTCTGGGTTTTTTTTTTTTTTTAAATTTTTTTAAAAATATTCTTTATGTATTAGCAGTATGATATTTAAATTGGAAAGAAAAAAAAACCCTTAGGTATGGAGATACTTTTCACCCTCTATTTCTAGGTGTTTGTCTCATTGGATATTTGCATTTTTTCAATACAATATTATAACCTAAATAACAATAGTGTATATTTGGAAACCAAAAATCAAGATAAATTTAACAAGATTTCACTACATAATTACGTGACCATATTTTGAAGTAAAAGAATAGCGTTAAAGTATCAGATTCTATTTTCTTTAATAGAACAAACAAAAGAAATACAAAAATTGAATGTTCACGGTCGTGTATGGGAACGAAATCAAGTGTTGCAAATGGAATTAAATTAAAAAATATTTTATGTTAGCTAGCCATTACAAATACTTTTAACTTGAGAGTGAGGGGTAGCTCAAGTGATTAAAGGTTTGTTCTCGATTTCAGGTAATCCTGAGATCAATTCTCACCCCGCCATTGTGGTTCTCGCTCTAAACACCAAAAAAAATAAAATTAACAAATACTTTTTAGTTTTAACTTAGCTTATCATTAGCCTTCTATTTTTTTTCTTTTCTTTTCTTCTTTTTTTTTTTTTTGAAATATATTCTTTTATACAAATTGGGGCATTTTTTTTGAAGTTCTTACAAAAAAGTTACTCCGTATTATTTTAATTAATATCTGTTCATAATCAATAAGCTTAATATGAAAAGCTAAAGGTAGTAAAAATGGTACATAAAATATATATATATATATATATATATATATCTATATATATATATATATATATATATATATATATATATATATATATATATATATATATATATATATATATATATCAAAAAACAAATGTTGAATAACAATAACTGTGATTACTAAATCCACATAAATCAACTTAAATTTAACACAACCATAATCACTCTATACATAGTTTAACTATACACAATAACAGTAATAATCAACTAGCTATAGCTTCTCTAACCTAGCTAGTTAATCAATTAAACACAATCAAAACACTCACAAATTAATCCAAATTCAAAAAAATAAAAGTAATTATAAAAAAAGAAAGAAAACAACTAAATTAACAGTTGATGTCTCTGACTTCAAACATGTTACGATTCTTGACAACAATATCAAACATATGCATGGACTTAAACTTGCGAAAATCCTTAGGCAAAGAAATCAAGTGAACAGTTGAACGTTTATGGAATTGTAGAAGATCAGGATCATCATAGTAACGTTCCCAACCTAAACTCAAGAGCTTTGTCTCGAGTTGTTCGTAACAAGTGATAACTTCGTTCGTAGGGAGATGGACTAGTACCTTTCTTTGTCCTCGCTCAATCGAGTCCGCCCCAGGGTTCTCCACGAGGCGGACCACACCGTTCTTGAACACCCACACTCCGGACATAATGTTGTATAGTAGAGAAAATAAAGAGAAATTAATTAGTCTGTATATTATGGGAAGGTATGTATGTAATAGCTGGACTAGATTTGGAGAATAGGAGTATGCATGGGCAGTTTATATAGAGCCAAAGTTGGAGATAGCTTTAGGGTCGAAATGGGCATGTTTGGGTAAGGGGATAATATAACTGTGTGGACCCTGAGTGATGGCAACTTTGCACATACACCAAAATCGGTATTTCATTCGTTGGTTTCAGAATAACTGACATGGTGGACTTTGTCACAGATGTCAACTAGTTTTTTGCCCGAGTAACGCTCGTATATTCACAGGAAAAAAAAATTATATTTATATATTATTATAAGTTTGTATTTATTTATAGATTGGGTATATTTTTAATATTTTATTTATTTAAATTTGTTGTTATTGTTCTATTATTTAGGTGTATATTTTTTTTTTTGAAAGAAGGTTGTATATTTTTTTTTCATCAATTATCTTTTTATTTTCTAAGAGGAAAATACTAAAAAAATAAATAATAAATAATAAATTTTTGGTGGGAACTTTTTTTATTTTCTAGGATATTCCTAATGATTACATTAGTATATAGTATTGATATGGTAATTTGTGTATACACCAATAGATGAATAGTTACGATATTAATAGCGTTTATGGAAAAACTTTTTTTTTATGTATATATACTATTTCTTCTTTTGTTTTTTTTTATATTTGCAACACGCCTTTTTGACATGCATGCTATTTGGGAAAGTGATTCAACTAAGGTTATAGACAAATTAAGGTATTAAATCTGAATCGTAGCAACTTATCTTTTAATTTGTCCGTTTATCTAGTCTAATATCACCTTTAAGTGCATGCCAAAGTAGTGTGTTCGTAGTTAGTAAATTAAAACAGAGGAAGTATAATACTTGTACAACTTTAGGTGTAAGCATTGTTATACCTTGTAATAAGCTAGATTATTGTGAGCTCATCATATCATATTATATAACTAATATATAAAGCTAAACTTTTAGTCAGAACATGAGACAACGACACTTGACATTTTCAACTTTTCGCCAAGTGTCACACCATGAGGCAACAATTAAATAGTAGTATGACACGTAGGATTTATTTGGATATATTTTTCATGAATACGTTATTTTTTTTTTTAAGGATAAAAACTGGGACAAATTTTGTAGGACCAAAAAAAAACTTAGTTTAAAGATTTATTTTCAATAAAATTTGGATAGATTTATAGGATAAAATTGTTGATTTAGAGTTTTATTTCCGATAAAATATCAATATTTCACAAGTAGAAAATAAATTATAAGTTTAGCTAAAAAACGAAACAGTGACACTTAGCGTTTTAAGTTTTCACCAAAGTCGAGTCACGTAGACAATAATTAAATACTTTATCATATAAGTATATTTTTATATCATAATTTTTTTTTGGAGCGAAGGAAGTAGTTCAAAACGTGCAACATTCATTTGTAGTATACTCTAATCGATTGAAATAAAATACTTCACAATCTAATATGATTTTATTATTGTATGTAAATCTGCCAATCGGGTCGAGTCATGGGTTATTTCGATTCGAGTCACTTCAGGGTACGGGTCAAGAATTTTTATAAAACAACATCAATTCCTTATGAATTTTGTATCAATGATACATTATTTTAAAATTTTGGTACAAAGATAAAAAAAAATTTAATCTTAAAATTAAATAAACAACCCGGGCATTAGACGGGGCACCAAACTAGTTATATTTATATATATAGCGCTTCTTTGTAAATGTTTTAATTAGTCTGCCGTAAATTTTGCATACCATATACTATTTTGGGCGTTTCAAAAAGATTTACCCATATTGAATGTATTCCACTTTTAACTTAGTTTTTATTTCCTATTTTATACATATTAAATTCAGATTGGTTAGATTAATTGATTGTGAATTAATGACATGCTCTAAGTAAAAAAATTACTCCCTTGATTTTTGCAATCATGGCTAATGTTTTCCTAAAAAAATCAAAAAAATTAAATAAGACAAACAATTTATGAATTGTTTTTTTTACTTTAATGTTAGATTCCAAATATTCTCATTTTCTTATTTTATGTGATTGATTCAATATGTAACTATCACATTAAAACGGAGGGAGTAATAAAATAAAATAAAGCCAAAATATTCTGTAATAAAAATCCCACTACTTCCAAAACCCCTCAATCCTGCACCACATTCAATCTCCTCCGTGGAATTTTCATAATCAATTCTTAAATGCGTCCATGGAGGTCAAATCCATTGGAAGAGGAACCAAATGCCTTGAATAATTAAGGTAATGAGATATAATGAGCTAGAATTTTGTTTTATTATCTTTCTTATTTTAGAAAAAATAGACTTATTTTTAATTAAGTACTACCTCCATTTTATTATGCTTGACCTAGTTTGACTTTTATACTATTCAAGCACTCATCTTTAGTCGTCTTTTGAGAGTGAGGGATAATTCTAGTGGTTAGAGCTTCCCTCCCGATTCTAGGAGGTCCTGGGATCGATTCTCACCCCCACCCAATATATATATATATATATATATATATATATATATATGTATATGTATGAGTTAGTTGTGCCTATAAATTTTTGATTTTTCCTCTATAATATAACTTTGAGTTTTCAGTTATTCATTATATACCCTTCCACTTTTTAAAATTATATCATACACCTTTAAGTTTCATATAAGTGTACCAAATGCCCTAAATTACTAATTAATGAAAGTTAATTTCATTAGTCATTAGGGTTAATCTAAATGATTAGTGAACTCATTAGTGACTAATTAGTTTTTTTCAACATCCATCCATCCCTCCGTCCCTTCCCTTCCCTTCCCCGTTTCGCCAACCTTTTCCTCTACCCATATGCCTTACTCTCTACATACTATTTCAACATTGGGGGGAGGGTTGATATTTTTGGAAAGGAGGGGGATGGTTTCGGGGGTGGGAGAAAAGAGGGGACCATTTTTCAATGGTGGGGCTAGGGAGAGGAATGATTTCGGTGGTGGGGCTACTAAGAAGAGGAGACGATTTCGCTGGTGGGGTTAGGGAGGGAAGCAGTTTTGGGGGTGGGGCTACAAAGGGGGGGGGGGCGCGGTTTCGTGAGTGGTGACTACCATAGAAGGGAAGGAGATAGAAAATTTTAAGGAGTAGGAAGAAAAAGAAAGACAAAAAATAAAAGCAAACTAAGTTAAAATAGACTAATTACACACCAATACATGGCAAGTTTAACAATAAAACCGGTAATCAATAAGTCAAGGAAAGTGAAAAGAAAATACCCCTTCAAGTTCGGATTATTAAATAATATTCAAAAGTTAGGTTCATTATTTTTACCAATTTTCTAACTAATTATTCAAAAAAAGTTATTTTGTAAATAACCCTTAACGTTAACCCCACCACATCCCAACACCATCTCCAACAACCCACCAAAAATCGTGACCACCCTCGGAAACCACCTTACTCTCTTCCCCCAACCTCTAAAAACAACCCTCCCTTCCTCCACTCCCGATAAGCACCCTATATCTCCCTCCTCCAACCCCAAACCACCCCAAATTTTCTTCCTCCACCCCTTCTATTCTCCTTTCTCAGAACCACCTTATATTCTCTTCCCCAACCCCAAATCACTCCCCCTCCCTTAGCCCACCACCTTATAAACCACCCCAAAATCCTTCCCATCACCGCTGAAACTCCGAAACCCTTAATCCCACCTAAGCCACCCCACCGTTGGTCAAAGGAGGGAGATAAGGTCGCAAGCGAGCAGGAAGGAGGGAGATGCAGTCACCAGCGAGCAAGGTGTGAGGGAGATGCACTCACATGATTTTTTTTCCCTCTAGGTTTTCTCCTTGAGAGGGTTTTTTGTTCCCTAGAGTTTCTCCCTTGGGATAGTTTTTCTAGCCTCCATTGCTAGGTTTTTTCAATTTATTTGAAGGTTTTCCTTCTCTTTTCTTCCTTTTTCTCTATCCCTTTTCCTCTTGGTCTCAGTTATGAACCTTTGTAGGGGTTTCCACTGATGTTCTTACCGATGGTAAGTCCCAAAAATCTTTTAATTGCTTTAAATAAATGGATCTCATCTTCGAGATGATGATTTTTCACTTGAATTTATTTTCTTTGTATGTTCAATTGTATGGCAAGAATTGAAGATATAGGGTTTCATTATCTCTACAAGAATCCAAAGGACCACATGAGTATTTTCACTCAAATAACTATGCATAATTGGATTTCAAGCCTAATTTCAATACGAACTCACAGATTGTATTGCTTCAAATAAAGATTTTTATTAAGCTAATTGTTAATCAAATGTACGATGTATTTATTTTTAAGGTGTAGTTATGTGCTTGTGTTGGATTTCTTAGGAATTATATGCACATGCTGTTTAGGTATATTTTATTAATGAATACCGTTTCTTCTTGTAAAAAAAAATAATAATAATAATAAAAAAAAAAAAAGAGAAGTGGCCATGGGGGGAATAATAGTAACTTTTCCAATTAATTCTAATATGAATGTTGTGTATTTGTTAACAATTTCTTTTGTAGATATGATGTATTATAACTTTTACAAAAATAATTACTTTTGATGTTTAAATAGTAATGATAATTTTTAATAACTTAATCAGTGGCGGATCTACGTTGACGCCTGGGGGGCACGTGCTACCCCCCCAAAAAAAAAATACTGTTTTTATGAAAAAAGCGCTCATTAAAATTATATAAAGATTACAATCTGTACTTATGTTAACTATCTTCAGCATTGCTTCAGTGGTAGAGGGTTGTAAGGAGAGTCACATTTGTTTTCAAGGTCAAGGGTTCGAGACCTCATTGCAGTTTTTTTTTTTAAGAAATTTTTTTTTAACCCAAATGAATTTCCACTTTCCTCTACTTTCATCAACACAAGGATAAGCTAGTACTATGTTTCCAAGATATATTTTTTTTTCCTTTTAATTTTTACACCTTTTATAAACAATCCTTATACTAGTATTAATTTCATTATATAATATTTATTGCATTATATTTGGCCATTATTATATCTTGTTTATATTAGTATGAAAATTTGATAACATTCTTCTCAATTTCATTATATAATATTTATTGCATTTATTTGGCCATTATTATATCTTGTTTATATTAGTAT